GGGTGGCGGGAGCGGCGCTCCAGGTCCACCATCTGGTTGCCCACCTCGTAGGCCACCATGGACTGCAGGCTGCTGTAGTGGTCCCGCTGGGGGCCGCTGCACAGGCGCTCCATCACCTGCAGCTTCGTCACCACGTCCTTGGAGATGAAGGAGAAGATGGCGCCCAGGCTGTTCAGGACACCTGACCAGCCCCCGCCAGCCGGCGAGGTAGTGCTCCAGCAGCACCTCCTCCTTCTCGTTGAGACACTGCTTGAAACTGACCAGGACGACCTTCAGGTTGAAGTCCGACTCCAAGTCGTCCATGTTCACCTGCCCAGAGGTGGGGCTGGGGTTGTCTTCCTGGACTTGGCTCATTCCTTCGGGGGAGGGGCAGGAGCAGGAGAGAAACCGCTGGGGTCCCACGGCTCCCCAAGAGCCCGCCTCACTCTCTGACACCCACCTGACCCTGAACAGGGGCCCACAGACCTCAGCACGGCCTCTCCCTGCCCCTCAGGTGTCTCCCGCCGGGTTTCCCTGCTCACTTGGGTGTTGTTCGTCTCTCTCTCACGAGAACGTCTGCTCTCACGACGTGGAGAAATACGTGCTGAGTCCCCACCCAGAGCCGGGCAGCCTCTGGGCACTCGGGTGTCAGTGACAGAGACAAACCGCCCAGTCTCGCCAGGGCAACATTCTAGTGGGGGCGGGTGAGGCGATAACGAAGACGGGAAATCCCGGCAGGGTAATGAGGGGATGAGTAAAAAGACAGTGAAGTGCGGTGCGGTGGCCGGGAGGGGGCTGGGCAGCCTGGCCCTTCCCCCCGCACAGCTGCCCCCACCCTGAAAGCCAGCAGGTCAGCGTGTGCTGGACAGAGGGGCAGACACCGGTCCTTTCCCGCCCTGGATTCTGCTGGCGTTCATACAGTCGCTCCACAAACATCCAAGCACCCACACACCCAGTGGGTGCCACTGAGCACCCAGCACCTGCCTCCCCGTGCGCCCAGGGCCGGCATTGAAGTGTGGCTCTCAGCGGCCTCTCACCTCAAGTCTGGGACAAGCTCTCATCCCATGGGCCTGGGGGTTCCCCTGCCTTTGGTGCTGGGTGCCCTGCGGGGACCGGGCAAGGGAGGGAGGCCACCCAAGCTGTGCAGCCAGGAACCGGACATCTGGGCGCCTGTGCAGGCTCTGCCTCCCACTCTGTGGGCAGGTCACTCACCATCCTGACTGGGTCCTTCACCTCTGGGCAAAATGGGTCAGCACGCCCTGCCCTGTCCACCAGCCAGGCTGACTGGACTCAGTGGGTGCTGAGGCCCTGCAAGGCCCCAAGGGTTGGGCTGAATGCCTGGCATGGGGTGGAGCCCTCAGAGGTGAGCACACCCCGTCTCAGGGGTGGGGGCAGCCAGGCCAGGCCCCAGGAAGATACATGTCCCTCTGGAGACCCCCAGCACCCCACCCCCAGGGCCTCGGGTGTCTGCCCACTGAGCAGATGGCCTCAGGGCCACCTTCCTGGCCAGCAGACATCCTGTGAGCCTGGCCTTCCTGCCCAGAGCCCAGGCCAGCAGCCCACAGGAGCTGCCAGGAGCCTCTCAGAGCCTGGAAGCAGGAAGGACAGTGCAGCTGAGCGGGGCAGCCGGCCAGCTCTGGAAGGTGGTGCAGGACACGGCCAGGGCTCCCCCAGGGGCACCCTCGGCCCGAGGTCAGGGCTCAGCGGGAGGGCGACCGAGCCCCGAATCCTATGGCTGACCGCGGGCTCCGGTCTCCCAGGAGAAGGCAGCACCCGCCCCTGCATCCGGGCCCGGAGGGTGGGAGCGAAGTCCGGTCCGGGAA